CAAATACTCAAGGGGGATTCTGTCACAGGAAATCAGGTAAAATATGTTACATTATAATTTTGATACGAAAGTAAAAATATCCAGCCACTTAGTAAGATTCTTGTTGATTTTTAGAAACAACGAATTATAAAAAAAAAAAAAAAAACGTAATAAATAACTGAAAGTCCAAAACTGCCTGTTCTTTCTATTTTTAATAATATGTCCACAAAGGAGGTCCATATCGTCCAAACTCAAAGCAAAGTTCAAAGTCCAAAGTCCGTTCCAAAATGAAAAATCCAGATGACCCATGCTCCTGAATGCATCATAGCTATGCAACACACTGATCTGTGAACGCTGTGCTGTGTAGATGCACGTTTGATTTTCCGCTTAATACAAACCTTTGCAGTTTCAAAACTCACGTTGTCTATCACTGTTTATTGTTGTGTGTGAATAACAAGAGACTAGAACAAATATATCAGCCGTAACTCGGACAAAATCTTTGGATTTAATGTTGTTAATAACACCCTTTACTTTTGTGAATAAATCTGCCAAATAACCACAATTTCTTTCCCACGAGAGGTATATTTAAACGTTTTATATCATTAATATAACAACAAGTAGCTCCATTGGTCACATTTTAATCCGTTTTCCTTGTTGATCTGCAGTTGTACAGAGCGAGGCGCGCTCCCGCAACTGGGGATGCATATCTCAGCAGTTACTCATTACTCTTGGCTTCGGTTTAATGCAGAGGTCACGGATTGGCAGACAAGGCGCTGGTGTTATGTCGAAAAGTGCATGCCTGCCGAGATATGCATCCCCATTTGCGCCAGCGTGCCTCGCTCTGTACAACTGCGACTATCAACGAGGAAAACGGATTAAAATATGACGGAGCTACTCGTTATATTAATTATATAAAAACTTTTAAATATACCTCTTTTGGGAAAAAAAATTTGGTTATTTGGCAGATTCATTTACAAAAGTACAGGTGTTATGAACAACATTAAATCCAAAGATTTCGTCCAAGGTACGGCTGATTTATTTGTTGTAGTCTCTTGTTATTAACACACAACAATAAACAGTGATAGCCGGCGGGAGTTTGGAAACTGCAAAGCTTTGTCTTAAGCGGAAAATCAAACCCGCATCTACAGAGCACAGCGCTCACTGACCAGTGTGATGCATTAACGAGCGTCAGATAGCTATGGTGCATTCAGGAACATGGGACATTTCACACTTACAAGGAAAGAGACAGAAACGGAACAGAAACGGCGTGGGCTTTCTACAATACTAAATGCTCCATAATTGTATTTCTGTTTTTCTGCTAGCTTGTTATTGTAAAAAATCTATAATATTACAGCAGCAAATTATCAAATTTTCAAAAGCCTGTTTAGGATCTCCAAATGAGGCTTCAGATCAGACAGCCACAATTGCGCTGTCATTGTTTTAAATACTGATGGATATACAGGAATAAAGTCATACAAGTGTCAACTCCTCTAAGATAGCGCAGGGTGCAATTTCTGGCAATTTATCTCTCTCTCTCTGTATATATATATATATATATATGTATATATATTTTTCGTATTCAATGTATAACATGAATACATATATACCTCATTTTATTTCACTGTTAAATTCTGTTTAAAGTAACAGATCATTAAAAATGTTTCTGGACCTTTACTGGTTGATGATTTTCTTTATTCAGACCCCGCTGATTTTTAATTGGTTACCCCATGGTTTAATGTTTATAAATATTAATTTCACGTCATTTGCGCTATCCAATGCAGATTCCACATCTAGTGAAAACTAGTGTAATTGGATGAGTCATATAACGCAAACACTCATTGGTTAGCTAAAGGAAATAATCAGAAGCAGGTGTTCTTCAAACTGCAAACGTGAATTGTCTATGCCATGCTACAATGTGGAATTCAGAAAAAGATGTTGAAATGTCTAAAAGCTCAGACACAGGCAAGAGCGTTTCAGGAGATGGAGATCAACAAGACCTCCTTCATCCTTGGCCCTATCTCAAATAATTTTTTGAAAGAGTTGAAAAATTTAGCTTTCAGTTCATATAGTGGCATCTAGCTGTTTTTTTTTAATTTTATTATTTTATACTTTTATACTTTAAGTTGTTTTTGGAGCACATACTTTTCCACTTTTACTTGAGTAAATAGGCCAAGCTGATACTTCAACTTTTACAAGAGTGTTTTTAAACTGCAGTATCTATACTTCTACTTAAGTAAACAAATGTGTGTACTTTTGACACCACTGTCAGTGATTCACCAACTGAAAAGCCCACTCCGATAATTGGCAGCTCCATTGTCAGAAACGTGGCATTAGAGACACCATGGACCATGGTCAAATGTTTGCCGGGGGCCAGAACGGGTGACATAAAATCCTACCTTAAAGGAATAGTACACCCAAAACATGATTAGCCTTCATTTTCTACTCACCCCCATGCTGAACAACACTCTGGAGTACTTTTTTG